AAGAGAAGAGAAGAGAAGAGAAGAGAAGAGAAGAGAAGAGAAGAGAAAGAAAACAGGTGTACAGTTTTAAGGAACCTAGAGGTGAAGTGAGTGTAAAGGCTGTAGAGTCCCAAGTATTTAATGTAAAGACACTTGGCTTTAGAAGGAAGATGGACCTTGGGAGTGCTTTTCCTTCAGCAGGTGACCATGGGGCTGTCACTGAATTGTCACCTGTTCAGTGGTTGAACATAACAGCATACAATCTCCCGCTCATGGACTCCGCTTTCCTGGTGGCCTATAGGTGAGCATCCTTGCAGGTTCCAGAGCAAGAGTGACTGCGCAAGGGTGGCCTGTGGACCATGAATGCTTGACTATCTCTAGTCCTTATCCTTGTCACCCCAAAGCCCTGTCCATCCATCTCCCAATTGCTGCCCAGTTCAAGTGCACACCCAACAAAATGTTGTCCTTATAAAACAGCAAGCCAATCACACATTAGCACGTGAAACTAAACGGAACTGGAAAGAGTTTATGCCTAAAAGAAAGTACCCAAGTAAAGGCCAGAATATATTTAATTACTTAATTTCACCTTTTGGCTTCCTAGGAATGTGGCTTGGCTCAGTTTTCCGAATGTGAACTTTGGCTTTTTTATAATCCATAGTTTAAACTATGCAATTCTCTAAGGCATTAGTAGGCTTTACAGTTATTACACTCATTCTTGTAGCAAAAGTATTCAAATGAAATGACCTTTTGTTACTTTCATTGTTTTTTGAGACAGAGTCTGGCTATGCAACTCAGGCTGGTTTCCAACTCTTGGTCCTCCTGCCTCAGCTGACAACACAGGTGTGTGCCACCAAACCAGGCCCAAAATGTCTTATTCTTCTAGATTTAAGAGCTTAAGAACATTCCTAAAATGATATATCAATAATGTTTTCTTGCTAGAGTAAACATTAAGTTTTATTGCTATAAAATATTTGATATTTTTACAAATTTACAAACATTACCAAAATACAAATAAAGAATAATAAGTAGCTTCAAGGTATGTTTTAAACTATTTATGTTTACCTGTCTTTATTTTCAATCTTCCCTCAGTGCTGTTACTCTTAGAATACACTGTCACTAAACATTTCATCAAGCAACAGAATAACAAAAGATAAAAGATGAATAAAAAATTTTAAGTATTCATATTTGAAAGAATACTTACTCATTTGACCCCCTCTTAGAGGGTATATCCTGAGTTTTTCAATAATGTCAACCACGATCAAGGACAGCAGAACCAGAGACACTGGCAGGTCAGGTAAGGAATCGGGCAACAAATTAATTGAGCCGTTGATGTTTTTTTTGAACCTGTTTGTAGAAAGGCATGTAAACACATTTAATTAGTTCACTTCATTCACTCTAGACTCTTGTCAACCCTCTGCAGACAGCGCTAAGCTTATTGTAAATATATTTACTGAAAACTTCAGAGCTCTGATTTTAGCTTCTCGGGTTTTAACCACAAGTCTTTGAACCATTTTTAAATATGTAATGAGAATGTACAAAGTGGGATAGTTTTTATTAAAAACAGAGCTCCCTAAATTAATGCAAAAATATGATAAGAAAAGGCTGTGTATGGAGCTCACTTGGTAGAATGTTTGCCGATCATATATATGACCCCAGACTTGATACCCATTTCGGGGGGGGGGGTGTTTGTCTGTGTGTATAAATGTTGTGTGTCTCTGTGTATCTGTGTATGTCTGTGTCTTTATATATGTATGTGTGCATGTCTCTATGTGTATGTAAGTGTATATGTGTGTGTGTTTATGGTGTGTTGTGTGTCTGTGTGTTTATCTGTGTCTGTGTGTATATATATTTGTGCACATATCTATGTGTGTAACTGTATACTTGTGTGTGAGTGTGTGTGTATGTTTCCAGTAAAAATGAAACAGGCCATTCCTTCCAATTCCCCTGATAAGCAGAGCTCTGACAGTCCCAGGTAAGCTCAGCCAGCTATCTTCTTCACCTGCTTATGGTATCTACAAAGAACAGACAAAAAAAAAAAAAAAAAGCTCCAGCATGCATCATATCTGTGGTGAAATATTTAAGGTTTTCTCTCAGAGAGAAGATAAAGATGTCTTCATGACCAGTTTTAGCCAGCTTGTCCTGGATATCATAGAACTCCTAATAAACCAAGAGAAAGTAGTAAACTTTAAAAAAAAAAAAAACAGAGAAATTAAACATCATTTTTCCTAGACTCTCTGTCTATATATGGAGGAAATGCTCCCAAATAGATGTATTCTTTTTAATTACTAATGACAACAAAAACATAAAAATACGATTTTTAAAAGATAAGACCATTAGCTGCAACTTCAGTCAGAATGTCAGTTATGAAGTTTATTCTAAACTGTGTGTGGAAATAAAAGGGCAAAAGATTCTAGAGGAAAGGAAGATAGAATGATGTGCTCTCCTTGTTCTGTGGGACACTTTTTTTTCTATTTTTTTATTTTCCCCCCATAAGCCCCTCCCTCCTCTCCTCCCGGTCCCACCCTCCTCCCCCCCCTTTCTGCATGCATGCCCCTCCCCAAGTCCACTGATAGGGGAGGTCCTCCTCTCCTTCTTTCTGATCTTAGTCTATCAGTTCTCATCAGAAGTGGCTGCATTGTCAGGGTTCTAGGTTATCTCCATGGATAGTCCTTGGTTGGAGTATGAGTCTCTGGGAAGTTCCCTGTGGAAACAACCTCAGAACCTGCCACAGAGGGCCTTTGAAAGCCTCTGCCATGCAGACTGTCAAAGCAGATGCTGAGCCTGATGGCCAACTGACGGGCAGAGTGAATGGAATTTTATGTAAGAAGTGGGAAATAGTAAGAGCAACAGAACAAGAAAATCTGTGGGACACTTTTGACACACAAGGATAAGCTGTGAAGTGTGTTAGCACAGGAGAGACAGGCAAAGTGACAATACAGAAAGCTTGGGACAGGTCATACACATGAACACCTGACTCAAAGAGGACTCTCTCGAAACAGAGGACTGAGGTGGGTTTTTTCGTTTGTTTTGTTTTGTTTTGTCTGCTCATTGGGAGAAACACAACTTGACCCATCTGTAAACAACATAAGACACCATTACAGCTGGCTCTGACTGTAAAGGAAGAAGAAAAACTTTTCCAAAAGATGAGATCGTTACGACTTTACAGTTTAGATTCAAAAGACTTTTCAATTCACTCACTAGAAGCATTTTGCACAAATAAAAGAGTGGATTAAGCTTTAATAAAAAAAAAAAAAAAAAAAAACCAAACTTTTTCATCAAAGAACATCAGTAAAATTGTGAAGGCAAATCCCAGGGTGAACATATTTGTAGTACATACATTAAAAAAGTGTTGTAATTTGAACATGTAAACAGCACTTTCAAATCAAGTTTTTTCAAACAGTTCTTTTCCTGTTACCCTTCACCTTGCTCTCTCTCTCTTGTTTGGTTTTGTGTTTGTTTTTCAAGACATGGTTTCTCTGTGTAGCCTTGGTTATCCAGGACTCTCTTTGTAGACCAGGCTGGCCTTGACCTCACAGCAATCTGCCTGCCTCTGTCTCCCTGAGTGCTGGGGTTACAGTCATGTGTCATCATGCCTGGCCACCTTGCTGTCTTTCAAATGGCCTCTTTTTCTTTAATTGTTGGTGTGTGTGTGTATACATGTGCGCGTGTGTGACAAATCACATAAATACAACTTAATCACTCTGTAAATCAAATCAATTTAAAAAGATAAGCAAAACATGAAATGAGCAGAGATGAAAAGATGTTCAACCTCACTCATTTGGAAAAATAAAATTTTAAAATGAGTTTCAAAAATATATCCCTCTGATCAACTAAGAAATAAAAAGTGAATTCTGGTGAAGAACATGAAACCAAGGGAGCATTCCTTTTCTGCTATTGGAGTCTGTGCAGTCTTTCTTGAACCTTGCTTGACATAACCCATTCCACTGGATGGTTGGACACTGTGTAATCATAAAACCCACCTATTCTACTCCTATGTGTTAAATCCACGGATGCCTGTACATCTGTAAAAATGTTTAACCAAGTTCCTGGCAATGTTTGCTTGAAACGGGAACAACTAAAATTGTCATCACAACAGAACTGACAGGACTGAGAATGTGACTCAGGGTGCTTGTCTCAAAAGTGCAAGGGCTCAGATTCCATCCTCACCATAGCAGCAGCAGAATAGAACTCTACAACTAAGATGTAAATTGCAATATTGGGCTGGGCTGGTGTACCTCAGAAGTATGGTACATGCTTAGTACCCACAAAGGCTCAACCCTAAAGCCGTAAATTAAAAACAAATAAAAAACAAACAAATAAACAATAGCTTTTAAAATAAAATACCTGAGTCAGTTACAATGAAAATAAGTGAACTATAGCTAGACATAAAAACATAAGTGACTCTCCATTATACATTTGAATAAAATAGAACACATATATTATGTAATCAATAAATGTAGTTAAATTTGACTTCCCCTAATAGAAAATTCAAAACTAGAGCCACTCAGGGTACAGCTGCTCAGGCTGCATTTCTTGACCTGAGTGGTGTTTGTCTAGAGATCTGTTTTGTGACATTCTGTTGATGTTACACAATTATGCTTCAAGTGTGTCTCTGTTTATGTGTGACACTTCAATGGAAATTTAATAAAAAGGGAAAAGATAATTATTCAATAGGTAACACATCTTGGGAAACAACAATTAAAAAGCTATTCTACCCAGATATGCCATCATTTTATGAACTGAAATTGGAACTCCTGCGAAAGCCTCTCCTCCTTCTCCTTCTCCTTCTCCCAGCTGATGATGTTCTCTTTCCCAGAACCCTGTAAGTTAATAATAACACCGCTGGTCAGGCCTTCCCCGACTTCTGTGGAACCCGAAATTCTTTCAGCCTGTGAATTTTGCCTTTAGTAGTCCTGTCCTAAGGTCTGGTTGTCTGTTGGAAACCCTTTGAGCCCATATTTTACCAAAAACAAAAGGTCATCAACATAGTTAGCATGTGCAAACAACTACCAACTTAGCAAAGATAATTCAGTAAGAATGTAGATTGACATTCTTTACTCTGTATGACTCTGAAGTATACTTTATTATCATTCACAAGTACAGAAGTAATATGTGTTTTAAAAACTGAACGTCAGACTAGCCCTCAAATCTTTGAAGAGATAGTTATCTTACGATAAGGGTCATACGTGTGTGCATCTGTGTGCGCGAGTGTGCAGGTGCATGTATTGTAACAATGTGTAAGAAGATTTCAGTAAAATAAACTTTAGGAACTGTTTGGCCATACTACTCTCTTGAAACTCAGAACCATGGCATTTTAAGGCCTCGAACACTTGCAGCAGAAGAAATAAAAATTGCATACCTCGGTCACTGCTATAGAAAAGCTGAAGCTGGGGAGAGTAGTGAGCACGACACACATCATCAGAACAGGTCGCCTAGCAAAGGAGAGAAAAATAAGCAACAGCAGTATCCGAGCCCATCAACAGTTCCTGTTAACATCCTGCTAATCTTGTAGTTCCTCTTTCATTCATCGAGTTTTTTCTAAGAAGCTCTGCTTCCCTATTTCCATTTCCCAAATGTTTGAGTATGGCAAAAAGGAACATGTGCAGAAAAAAAAAAAAAAAAAGAATTATTTTCTCCAACAAAGGGGTGAGAATTTCCAAATAGCTTAACTAAGTAGTAGACTATTGAGATATGAAATAAATATGCTGTATTTTATGACAGGGGAAATTCAAATGGATGCTTAGCTTCTTGAATTAATGAGACAAAAGATAGTCAGAGCTTTTGAGTATGTGTGAGTGCAGGCACATATGTATGGGCAGCTTGTGTGTGGAGCAGAGGAAAACAGGCATCAGTCCTCAACTTCACCTTGCTTGGGGTAGGGCTTCTCACTATTTTACCAGTCAGAGCCAGAGTCTCCTGCCTCTGTCTCATAACTCCCCATAAAAATGCTAAATCTGGCCCTTCATGAGGGTTCAGGTCCTTCTCCTTTGGGGATAAGCCTTTTACTCAGTGAGCCATGTCACCATCTATTAGAGATTTTTATTATAACAAAACATATATCTCCCCTTTTCCTGAACACCTTACATTAATAACATTCATATAAAGTGCTCCTCAGTATAAGAAGTATTGAATAGTGTCAAAGTAGTAACAATTTCTCCTCGCTTCTGCATGCTTCTCTTATCCCAGATCCATCTTAGATACAGGCCTATTTAGGAGGGGAGACAGCAGCCCTTCTGTAAACCATGCTCATGACAATCAGTTAACACTAGGTGCAATTGGTTTTAAAATAGGTATATCCAAACTAATTATTTTTGTTATTTTAATAAAATAAAAGAAGAAAGTTGGGAGCTGGGCGCCTGTAATAGCAGCACTAAGGAAGGCAACGGCCAGCAGATCTCTGTGAGCTTGAGGCTAGCCTGGTCTACAAAGTGAGTCCAAGACAGCCAAGGCTATACAGAGAAAGCCTGTCTCAGAAGAAAAAGAATGAGAAGAAAGAGAGGAAGAAGAAGAAGAAGAAGAAGAAGAAGAAGAAGAAGAAGAAGAAGAAGAAGAA